GCCTTTCCAGATGAGTTATTAAATTTTAAGTTGGCAGGCAAACCTGATTATTATAGAAATCTCTTTTTGAAAGAAAAATATTCTTTTACAGGTTCTCCCTGTGTTGAGTCACAATAATTTTCTTACAGTATTGCTTTCATATATACAAATTTAACACTGTATAGGAATTTCTTATTCTTGCTACAGTTTTACCACTGCAAATTTCAAATCAATTTAGAAAGCAAAATGAAGTAAAAAATAAATTAAACACATTAAAGATATACATTCAATGTGCCAAGTTATGTTATTTCCCTACAGTCATCATGAGTAAGAACGTGTAGTGTCAATTGCTCACAGTACAGTTTCTTTTGAGTTTGGCATGCCTGTAGTTTGTTTTCTAAGGACAGAGCATTTATGCTACCCTGTGATTTAATTCAGTGCTGCAGACATTTTGTTTGCACATGCATCATGACATAGTTTGGCCTTCCTTTGGCACGAACACATTATTTATGTATTAACTCCACCTTTGCTCTTCTCTCATTAACCTAGAATAATTAAAGTAGTGCTACTAATTGGTACAAATATAGGTTTTTGCACAAATGCAAACACAGGCACTGAAATCATGTGGCAGGACTCCAGAGGATCCAGAAAGCTTTGTGTAACTCACATAACACCATTTGCTTCTTAGCCTGCGTCGGTTATGATTAGTTTCAGCTAAATGTATTGAAACAGCCCCTTCTAACAGTGGCTTAGATAGGAGAGATGTTTATTCCTTTCTCACCAAAAGGAAGACAGTGCCATGCTTAGTAGGATGATCTAAGGATCACCATCAGTAACCCTGCCTTTTCTTTCTGCTTCACTGTCCTAGCCATAGCCTTTATCTTCAGAGCCACTTCTTAACACAGCTAGCTGCTGGGGCTCTGGTCTCATTCCAGCCACCAGCAAAGACGAAAGTGGGGACACCCTGAAGGCCACTTTCAGGGACAGTACAATGCTTTGTATTTCTCCATTGGCCAGAACTTAGTCCCTGGACCTCACTTAGATGAAGTCAGCCTGAGAAATGGGTTAGTTCTGGGCAGTAAGAACAAAAGAAACAATTGATATTTGGTGGAGAGGCATCAACTTTCAATCTGTACCATGTGGCCCAATTTTGGTAGGGAGCTGTGCCCCCAAATCAGCAGTCAGACTACAAAACAGACAAAAACTCAGTGAAGAGCCATTGTTATCTTCATTGTAGTCTCTCAAGGAAACCCCAAAAGGGAATAACATTTGTCAGCCAGCAGCAAAGGTCTCTCCCTCTTGCTACCTCTCTTGATAATCTTGCACACAAGATAGCTGCTCCCCATGCTCCTTCTCCACTCCAGAACTATATCCAGCCCAGTGAGTGCAGCATTTCTTTATATATATTTCGTGTAACCTACCATCTTGGATTCAGTGGAGGTAGGTTCATGGGCCTGGAAACGCTCTGAGCTCTCCCCACTGTGAATGTATACACCAAGCAGAACCCACAAGGAAGAACTTCTTGGGTTGTAGAATGTGTTGTAGAATAGGTTAAAGAATGGGTGGTAGAATGGGTTATAGAGTGGGTTGTAGAATGGTGGACGTGTGCTCATAGTGCAAAGTCACACGAACCCCTTCTTTAATTTTGGTTTCAGTTTCCTTCTGGTAAGATCCCTGTGGTTCATTCTCTTTAGTAGGGACATAGCACAAATTCGGGTCATGGGGATACTCTCCCACTCTGCTGCCCCACTGTCTTTGGGGAGCCTGTGTGCGGTGCCTAGCTCCTTCCTGCAGATTTGCATTTTTTGTGCAGTTTCTTGAAAACTCTCTAGCTAGAGAATTTAGATCTTCGGGGGATTGGGCAGGGGGGCCTTCAACACATCAGATTTTAAATTTAATCACCATCTCTTTGAGGGCCTTCGGCTCTTCTAACATGACAGAGAATTGTTCACCAGATTTTGATATTTTTTTCTCTCAAGAAGGCTGATACTAGATATGGAGGTCACTGGAAGTAACGTACACTCAGAACCTTCTCCATCCTTGCTGGGCTCTGGGTGGCATGTCAGTGTTGTTTATGACCAGTTCTGCCCCACTGGAAGATTATCAGAGGCACAGGCTCTTGCTGAACTCTGGGCTGAATCTGGGAAGCTCCTTTAGGAGGGACTAAGAGACCAGCTTAGCCACACCCCCACTCCCACGTCTCGTTTGTTTGTTGAGTCTAAGTTAGGAATCCGAGGTCTCTGTCGTCCACTGGCTTTCAGTTCTGTTTCTGGTGGCTTGGCTCAGAGCTCCTTGACTTGCCTTTGCTCCCTGATGACAAGAACTGAGGCAGCCCTTAGGACTGTGATAATGTTTCATATTTTTCAGAAAGTCTTGGCTATGAATTCTTCTCATTAGGACCTGATTTATGTACTTCTAGCTCTCCAAGCTGTGTTCTGTCACTTTTGGTAGATAGTCCACTGTAAATATTTTTCCAATCTGAGCAGAAAGGCTGCATGTATCTGTTACTAACAAGATTTTGAATTCGGTATCTTAATCGCAGCAACTTCCCACTTTGCCGCCCATTTTCTCTGCAGCAGGGAGATAGTTTGCATATGAAGCAAGTGTCTTTGTCTTAAAGGGAGATGGCTTTGTTTTAAAATTGAGAGATTTCATTCGTGTAATGTCCCCAATTTGTAAAATGTTTGACAGTCCATGGAATATATTATTTAGAGCAGCTGCTTGTATAATTTAGATATAAATATACATATATATTAAAAAACATTTACCGAGAAGATGCATGTTGTATTGATCATGCATGGAGAAGTTCCTTTTCCCGACTTCTCATTTTGAGGAATTTCAAATCTATAGAACAGTTGCAAGAGTAGCATAATGGACAGTATTTTATTCTTCACATAATGATTTATGGAATAATTGTTAACACTTGACTGATTGCTGTGTTTTGCCTAATGAGGGTGGGAAGTTTTCATTTTTGCTGAAACACCTAAGAGTAAGTTACATGCATCATGGCACTTCACTCCTAAATACTTGCTGGGTATCTCGTAAGACCAAGAATCTTCTTCTTCTTTTTCTTCTTCTTTTTTTTAAATTCTCAAGTTGATGATCAAATTGCTGAACTATGGATATTTTCTATGGTTCCTGAGCCATGTCACAAATTATTTTAAGGCTTTTTATTTATTTATTTTAAAATGCTTATTTATTTTGAGAGAGAGAAAGGTACACATGTGTGCGAGCAAGCAAGCAGAAGAGGAGCAGAATGAGAGAGAGGGAGAGAGAGAATCCCAAGCAGGCTCCATGCTGTTAGCACAGAGACTGACAGATCTCATGAACTGTGAGATGACCTGAGCCAAAATCAAGAGTCAGATGTTGAACCTACTGAGCCACCCAGGTGCCCCAAGACTGAGAGTATTCTATGTGACCACTGTACATCATCACACTCAGGAAGCGTCATCAAGGGAATACTCATTATGCTGCATCTAATATGCTGGCCATATTCAGATATGGGTTCTGATAACTTGAAATACATGAATGATCTCCGAGGCTCGCCTCTGTAGATTTGCACTTAGTGGGTGCTATTAAATTGACTCAAGTGGCTGGTCTTCTAGTGCCATGTCATTGGCTCAAAAACGGACTCAGAGTTCCTTCCTCCAGCTGTTGGCCTTTTATTGCCTGCGGATTTCCCAAGCTGCAGTGGTGTTTATGCCTTCTTGCTTGCAAGCCCCCCAGCAGCGGCCAGTTTCCCAAGGGCCACCTGTCTCCTGCATGGAACCAGTTCGGAGTTTTGAGTTTGTGCAAGCCTGTCTGCCATCAGCCTCCTCTCTGCTGGAAAAAGAGCTGAATTTCTTAAGAAGTTGTGTGTTCTAGTGGATGAAACCAAATTTCCAGTATCTAATTTCAGAACATTTTCATCACCCTTAAAAAAAAACATTAGCAGTTGCTCCCCAATCTACCCTCTCACCAGTCCCTGGCCTTTTCTGGATCTTTCATATAAATGGAATAATATAGTCAGTGGTCTTTCGTGACTGCCTCTTCCCCCTTAGCATAATGTTTTCGAGATTCATCCAAGACGTCAGGATTTCGTTCCTTCTTATCGCCACATGACATTCCAGCGCATGGAGAGACCGCATTTTATGTATCTGCTGATCAGTTGATGGGTGTTTGGGTTGTTTTGACTTTTTGGTAATAATGTGCTGCTGTGAACTTCTGTATACATGTTCTATGTGATGTAAGTTTTCAGTTCTCTTGAACATATAAACCTGGATGTGGAATTGCTGGGTCCTATGTTTTGTGTCTCGTTTTGATTGTGGCCATCGCAGTGGATGTTAAGTGGTAGCTCATTCATATTTATTTTTATAGTCAGTTTTAAAAATTTTGTGTCAAATATGCAAAACTACCTCCATTTCTTTTTTTTAAAATTGTGGTAAAATATACAGAACATAAAAGCTACCATTTTAACCATTTTTAAGTGTGCAATTCAGTGGTGTTAAGTACATTCACAGTGTTGTGCAACCATCACCGCTATCCATTTCTAGCACATTTTATCATCTGAAGCAGAAACTCAGTGCCCATTAAATAAGTCCCCATTCCTCCACTGGGGATGGAATTCTGTTCTACCTTCTATCTCTATGAGCCAGCCTATGCTAGGTACTGCCTATAAACAGAGTTATACAATAGGTGTCCTTTTGTGTCTGGCTTAGTTTACTTCTTGCAATGTCTTTAAGGTTCATCCATGTTGTAGTATCTGTTAGAATTTCAACACTTTTTATTCCTGTTTTGTTATAAAGACAATGTGCGTCACACTCCACATCCTCCAAAATGGTTCTCTGACATGTTGACAAATGGCCTTAAGACATGTTTGCCCAGCATGTATGCTTTGCAAAGTCTGTATAACTGGGGCGAATTCCATTCTTTGTTCATAAAAAAGTTATTAAGTGCATTTCATTGACTTCTAGTTTATCTTGTTGATATAATTGTCCTAAATCAATATAAAAGAAATTATTGGCATTCTCTTAACTTCTTAGATTAAGACTTTGGAACAGACCAAAGCCATTGAAGACCTAAATAAATCCAGAGACAAACTTGAGAAGATGAAGGAGAAAGCTGAGAAAAAGCTAATGTCTGTCAAGTCAGAACTGTATTCTACAGAGCATGAGGCTAAGGAGGATAAAGAGAGAGCCAGGAACATGATAGAAGTGGTAACCAGCGAAATGAAGACACTAAAAACATCTCTGGAAGAAGCAGAAAAGAGAGAAAAGCAGGTGCGTAGAAATCTGGTGGTGAAATCTTGTTTAGAAAAGATAGGACAATTCAAAAGCTTGAAAATTATTCATACATTTCTTCAAAAACAATTTACAAATCTTTCTATACCATTTCAGTGTATCAGCCTGCCCTCTCACATCTTTTTGGCACTAAAATAACCATTATGATTTACTCTGCTAAGAATAATAATTCATGTGTTCATGGAATGAATTGTAGAAAAGAAAAAGACGTTCTTATCAAAGCAGCGGAAAGCCTGTGAAACGCCAGTTTCTGGTTGTGGAGAGGTTTTATTATGTTCCCTGATTGCCTCTGAAGTTCACATCATCCCAGGCTTCAGCCTCAGGAGGGAAAGCTTATCTCCAGCAGAGATCAGTGGCAGGAAACGGTCCCAATTCTCAAACAGTGGCACCCAGACTCGATGGCCAATCTAGCCCAGATGGAAGCCATAAAACAGCCCTCACTCGCTGGCTGGTTGCAAGGAGGAGAGTTTTATCTGGTGAGCACATCAGGAGGTCAGGCACAAAGAACTGTACCGGGCAGTCTGACCCCCATTGCTTTTGGCTTTCATCTCCCTCTCTTTCTGAAGCTCAAAAGGGCAGAGAATGGACTCTGATCCTAGGATATTTTTTTCTCTTTGGCTGCCTCTGCTCTCGCTCACATGTCAGGCAGAGCTGAGGAAGGCCAAACTCTAACATACGCCTTCTCAGAGGGAAACCTCTCAGGAATTAAGAGCTTTGACCAAATTTGAAAGGGAAGAAACATTTGAGGGAAGCTTTCTTCCCAGGGACACTAGGGTGGAGAGGGTATTATGTTCCCTAAGTTGGACTCAGCATAGGAAGGAGGTTGGGATGTGAATGGACACGTGGTGAGGATGTTTGGAAGGCAGTTTTCATGGGGGTAACATCTGTCTTCATATTGGATCGCATCTCTTCTAAAATGGAAGGTACTTCTGGCAAGGGGTTGCCCAGATATCCCTGACGTATCTCTCCTACTTGAGCACAGAATCACAGTGACCCGTGGAGGAGAATTTGAAGGACTGTGAGGCATCTTTTCATCCATTGTCTCCAAGCTCACCACCTCTCCATTTTTCTTTTTGTGATGGACAGAGAGTAATTCCAGAGGGTCCAGTGTTATAGATTGTGAGGATGCTGTTTATGTGATGTCATTTGGTCATTATTTAGAAGTCCTTCTCTTTTCATCAGCTCATAGTTTCTTGCCCTTTGTTTTTCCTTTAGTTTAGTGGTTCCATGCCCACTTAAAATTCCACTTACCACCCATGGCTACAACCATTTGCAAAGCACTTCCTAGTATACAGAACACATACACAGTCATTGTTTCATTTGATCTGAATTTCAGAACAGCCCTGGGAAGTAGGCACATGGTTATTCCCCTCTGGAAGTGAGGACATGGGTCTCATTCATGGTTGCTTTTCACTGAGGTTCTTGACTTGGTAGCCAGTGTCACACTAATGGGCTCATCAGAAGAGTGACTATGAAATCACTGAGAGCTGGCGCCTGAAAGACTTTAGGGTTTAGTAGATTCCCCTTCCTATTTTATAAGTGAGAGGCCCAAGGTACAAAACAGTAAGTAATTTGCCTACCTTATGTCCCTCCCGGGGACTTTTGTTTGTTTGGTTGTCTTCAGCCTAGCAGGAATCAGTACATTTTGTTCTCACCCTTAACGTGTGTGTTTGATATTGCAGCTGGTGGACTTCAGGGAGGTGGTTGCCCAGATGCTGGGCTTGAACATGACCAGTCTTGCACTTCCTGACTATGAAATCATCAAATGTCTTGAAAGACTGATCCATTCACATCATCATCATTTTGTCACCTGTGCCTGCCTCAAAGATGTGACGCCTGAGCGAGATAGGCACCCACAAAGTCACTTAAAACTCCTTCATTGAACACCATGTCTCTTGAACGAGGTGGAGCTAAGGGATGGCAGACAATTCTAATTTCACTAATTCCCTAAACTTTTGAAATCTGATCAGTATGTGAATACCATATACTTTGATGATAGAACAAGAATCCATCATTTACAAAAAGGGATCTCAGAGGTGCCAGCTGTAGGGAAATGTTTGACACTGAAAACACCTATTGTTTTATTTGCTAGCACTTTGGGACCCAGAAGAGTCCCAGTAGATTGCCAACTAGAATGGGTAATGGTGGTAGGAAATTTACATTGATGGGATTCCTTTTATGAGTCAGGGGCTTTACTACCCAATTTAATTCTCATAATAGCCATGTGGAGATTTTATAACCTCTCTGGGGCTCAGAGAGGGTATTACCTACCCAAGGTTGCAATTGGTTAGTAATTGAACCAGAAGCCTTACCATGCTGGCTCTGGTTCAAAGGCTGTGACTTCTCTGCTACACTACACTTCTCCAGTTTCTCCTGAATTCCTGAGATCCAGGTGAAAATTGCTCCCGAAAGGCAAGGAAAACATTCCTACAATCAAGAATTGAAGCCCAAAACGTAACAGATTTATGAACATTACCCATATGATTTCTTTAAAAAGCAATATACCAACTTATTTAGTAAAACATACCTAGGCCTGAGGTCCTATAAGAAAGTTACCTGTTTGAAATGTGGCTGCCAGATCAACATTTGGTAGCAATTTTTCATGTTGGAGGAGGGTTGATCTCAGTCCTTGAAAAATGAAACCTTGAACGTGAATCCTGTCAGATGATATCCTACACAATTTTATTCACCAGTTTATCAGAGGCACGGACAGCATGGGTACTTTTTTCGGATTGGAGTTTTATGACTTTCTTTCATTTTCTGCCTTCTTGTTAAATTTCTATTTCACAGATATTTTTCAGGAAACCATGTTTTTAACTTTATTGAGAAAAACGTTTACTTTCTTGGGTGATTACCTTATTTTTTGCCATATGAGTTTTTTTAATAGTTTCTGAAAAAAAGCATTGGTGTCTCACGAAAGGAGAGGGGGGAGAATAAATTACATCCAACCAGAGAAAAAGCAAATTCTATGGGGCATGTGGGTAGCTTAGTTGGTTAAGCCTCTGACTCTTGATTTCGGCTCAGGTCATGATCTCACAGTTCCTGAGATCAATCTCCGAGTTGGGCTTTGTGCTGAGAGCGAGGAGCCTGCTTGGGATTCCCTCTCTCCCTCTCTCTCTCTGCTGCTCCTAGGCTGGTGCGTGTGTGCACTCTCACTTTCAAAATAAATAAATAAATAAAACTTTTTAAAATATAGGAAAAGCAAATTTTAGTGGAAAGGAAATGAGTTTGACATTTACTGAGGACAGATCACACAGAGGAAGAGTAACCAAGGGTGTCCCCTGGGGAAGGGGTCATGGTTGCCGGACTTTCTCCCTCGTGGGCAAAGACAGTACAAAGTAGCTTTTGCAACTGGATAAACACACCTGCGCAGCCCTGACTGAGGGTACAGCTAGGTCCGCAACAGGCTGGAGCCGCAGCGTTGGATTTTCCCAGCGGAAGTCATGCAGGCTCTGGAGACCCCCTCCCATGCTCCGCAGAGGCCGCTGTCCTGGACCCACACTCAGAGCAGAGGAGGCGACTCTACTGTCTGGGTCCCTAGAGGACTGAGTTGCCGAGTGGCCCTTGCTTTAGCCGCTCCTAGAACAGTGGGGGGTGCTCAGAGATGGATGGCTTGTTTTTATACCTTCCCTTTGTTCTCATTTTCCAAATACAATCTTTAATGACCTTCATTTATTTCTCTGTGAATTTATTTTCAACACTATTCAACATCACTTCGGAACCATAAACTGTCATAAAAATATTTTCCCATTTCATGGCATAAGAAAAATACGTTCTGTCTCTGTATATAGTCCATATGCACATTAACTATTTGTCATTTAGACGAAGCGAAATCCCTTAATAAAGCCATTTCCCTCCTTGTTGAAATGCCAGTTGACTGGTGGCTTTCCTTCTGTGGCATTCACTCGAGAACTGGCAGCCCAGCCTCACATTTTTGTGTTAGATTTTGTTCTTCTATCCATGTATATTTTATGTTGGCCAATAAAACATGTTATGGTGATGAGATTTTCTAAACAAGGGTTTTAAAATATTTAACACTAACTCTTCTACCAAATACATTTGAGTGATAATTGCTTTTGAGGTTATTATTCTGGTCATTGTCTGAGACATTTAAATGCATGCATAAAGTAGCTCCATTAGGAAAAAAAAAAAAAAGAATTAAACCTGATCAGTTCTACCTTATGGTCAATCTGTCTTACAGATGAACAGTGAGTGATTCAAGGTCAAGGGGTGATGGGCTGGAAAGTGGTTAAAGAATGTCTATATTATTTATATTGTAATAATACTTAGGACTTGGAAGTGGAGTTTAATTTTCACCGGGAAGCATTTCATGGCTATATAACCTTTGATTGGGAAGGCTCTGCCCACTCTATGCAATAGTGATCTTATCCACATTACTGCACAACCCCGCTTAGCTTCTCCTCAGTAAATGGGGTCCGTATGCTTCTCTCTCCCCTATGCAGCCTCTACACTCTTATGCCCGTGTCTTTGTATAAAAACCATTACTCGTTTGAGGCTCCTTGCTAACTGAATATAACTTTTCTCTTGGTCCTCATTGAAGTTGCCTGTTTTTTTTTTTTTAATTTTTTTTTTTTAATGTTTTATTTATTTCTAGGAGAGAGAGAGAGACAGCTTGAGCAGGGGAGGGTCAGAGAGAGAGGGAGTCACAGNTGAGCAGGGGAGGGTCAGAGAGAGAGGGAGTCACAGACTGAAACAGGCTCCAGGCTCTGAGCTGGCAGTCAGCACAGAGCCTGACGCGGGGCTCGAACCCATGAACCGCGAGATCATGACCTAAGTGAAAGTTGGACGCTTAACCGACTAAGCCACCAGGTGCCCCTGAAGTTGCCTGTTAACATTCTGTATGTTCTTCGTGGTTCATAGTGGGGCTCCTGGGTGCTTCCATCAGTTGAGCATCTGACTTTGGCTCAGGTCACAATCTCATGGTTTGTGCCGTCAATGTAGAGCTCGCTTTGGATCCTCTGTCTCCCTCTGTCTCTGTCCCTCACCCATCTTGTCTCTCTCAAAAATAAATAAACATTTTTTGGGGCACCTTAGATTGCTTACACCTTAGATTGCAGTTTATAGCAATCCAATTTACATTACTGTAAGTCAAAGAGAATTTGGGGGTGGGGGAGGGTGCTCATTTGAAAGATTCAAGGGTAGACTAGCTTCAGCACAGCTAGATCCAGGGATTTAAAATTGTTATTTGGATTCTTTCTTGCTTCTACCCATCTTCTTTACTCCTTGATTTTCTGGTCTTTGCATGTTGGTCTCCCTTTCTCCTTCTGGTGGTGGGTTTCTCTGTGCTGCCAGCAGAGATGATCACCAGCAGCTACATGGTCTTTACAACTCATGAGCTGAGAAAATGAGACACTGTCTGCCACCAACATTCATGGCAGGAATGCCAGGGAAGAAGAGTCTGATCATCTCTTCTCGGCCACGCTCTCCTTCCGTACCGAGCCCTGTGCCGGGGGGATGAACTCACTGGCCTGCATCCCATGCCAACCGCTGCAGCGAGGGGGGTGGGGTGAGGGTCCGGGGTGACCTGTTCAACCAGAACTGTATGTAATGACAGAAGGAGAGCTGGACGCCTAGGCACACAGCACACATCTCTGACCCGTGGTCAGATTTAGGATCTTCTAGTCACCTCCCATGTCTCCACCTCTAAAATCTTACAATCTCCATAAACTCTTACCATCGCAGACCTCCATCTCTTACCCCCACACGGGTGCTCTTCGGGTTTCCTTGGTTCTCACGTTTTCTCCCTACTAGCCTTGCCTTCAGGGGTCAGCCTCGATACTCTGGTTCCTTTCTTCAGCTTTTCTTTTCCCAACGTCTTCAATTCCTTGTGTCCTTGCCCCTCGTCCCTCAGATGTGAATTAGTCCCAACTAACAGTTTCTGTTGCTTTTCCTGCCCCACTGGACGAGACTGGAGGGAATCACGGTGCCCTGCCAATTCAGGCCCCTGGCCTCACCTGAGCCCTCTGGGCTAACTGGTCACCCTTCTCACTTCTCCAGTTAGAGCTCGCGGCCATTTTCCAAAATGACTAGTCATTGCAAATACCCTTCTCTTCCTCAAGGCTCTTAACCTGTCTTCTTTCTTCACTGTCAGCAGATAATCTTGTCTTCTCTTTCACCCACAAAATAGAAGCCATTACAGGAAATATCTTTAATATCCGATCCTAAAATAGCCTGATACGTGTGTACGTGCATCGTGGCTTCCTTCCCTTTTCCTGCCTCTGGTTATTTCCTCCGGCTGGTCTCTGGCATCCTCACTAACTTCATCCCATCAGTTGTCCTCTGTCTAGAAAGTGTTTTCAGCCTCACTTTCCTTTGTGGCTTTTTTCCCCCTCAGCATTTAAATATGTGTGTCTTAAATCAGTCTCTCTACTCTCCCAACAACTTCTCCTTAGGGCTTTATTTCCCTGTCTTTCTGGTCTCACCTCCTCTTCACACCATCTTTTGTGTGAAGGCTTCGGTCTCCACTCACCCAGTTCTCCCATTTTTGTTAGCAAATCTTTGTTAGCTCATGTTTTTAAATTATGGGGTGTCTGGGTGGCTCAGTTGGTTAGGCATCTGACTCTGGCTCAGGTCATGATATCACAGTTCATGGGTTTGAGCCCTGCATCGGGCTCTGTGCTGACCGCTCAGAGCCTGGAGCTTGCTTCAGATTCTGTGTCTCCCTCTCTGTCTGCTTCGCCCCTGCTCATGCTCTGTCTCTGTCTCTCAAAAATAAACATTAAATTTTTTTAAATTAATTTATTCATTTAGAAAGACAGAGAGCAAACATGAGTGGGGGAGGGGAAGAGAGAGAGGGAGAGAGAATCTCAAGCAGGTTCTGCGCTGTCATCATCAGCCTCTCTGGGTGCTCGAGTCAGATTATTTTAAGGTTATAGGAAACAAAAGTGAAATGAGAGGTTAATGTAAAGATAAGTGTGGATATGAGTGTGGGGTGGGAATCTTGACCTCACAGTCGGAATTTGGGGAGGAAGAGTTATACAGCACAGAAACCAGAATGTGGTTGACAGTCCAGCAACTGGAGCACCAGATGCAGGGTACAGGGCGGCTGTCACAGCTGGGTTCCCTTACGGGCCCTATGCTTGCCGGTTTCCTTTGATACCAAGAAGACTCAACTTCCCTCTGTCTCTGTTTCTACTGCTTCAGCTGGTGTCTCAGACGTCTGGCCTCCAGAACTGTGAGATGGTATGTTTATATTGTTTAAACCGCTCAGTTTGTGGAACTGGAGAAGATGGGGAAAATTATGCCCCATCTTACAAGATTACTATAAGGATTAAATAATGTAGAGCATTATTGAGCAATGTTGAATTTTATTTATTTATTTATTTACTTATTTATTTAGAAAGAGCAAGAGTGGAGGAGAAGGGTGGGGGGGAGGGAGAGAAAGGGAGGGGATCTTTGGCTCTGTGCTCAGTGAGGAGCCAGATGCAGGGCTTGATCCCATAACCCTGGGATCATGACCTGAGCTGAAATCAAGAGTCAGATGTTCAGCTAACTGAGCCACCCAGGTGGCCCATTTTTAAATTTATTTTAATTAATTTATTGTTTTGCAATGTTGAATTTATAATTTCTGCCTCTATCATCTTTTCGCCAATAGCCTTCTTCTCTTCTGGGCTCCCTGCCTCAGCCCATGGCCTGACATCTGCTCAGATGTCCAAGGCTGGGTTTAGGGAGGGAATCTGACTTGTTCCTCTTCCTCCTCCCACATTGGATAAATCACAAAGCCTTATCTGCTCTACCTCTTCTCCCTTATCTATCTGCTCTTTCCTTCCACCCCATTATCTCTTACTCATTCAGACTTCTCTGAGTGCTGAGCAGATGCTGTAATTCACCACCCAGGCTCCCCCTTTAGGACTCAAGCACGCCTTCAGCTGCCCAGAGCTGTTGGCTCTTGACAATCCATAGCTGAGTTCCTTGCAAGGACTTGCCCTTGGCTGGAGGGAGTTACCTCATCCTGGGTCAGACTTTTCCCAAAG